GATGGTGTTGGAAGTGAGAAAGACACCAACAAGTTGGCTCTGTTGTGGGATAAAATCGAAAAATTCGAGAACTATGCCATGAAATTAATTGAAGATAAGGAAGTGTCCAATGATGTTCTCGCTAAGAATTCGAGTTACAGTATATGGGTGGAGGATTTAAGAGAGTTAAGAAAACTGAAGGCAAAGGTGCATAGGTTTCCTCAGCAGTTTACCCGTTTTTTAGATGGGGAAGTAGTTCCTTTGTAGTTAGTACGTAGTTTGGAATCAATAATCTTAACCCATTGTAAGCATACGAACTGCTCATTTTGCAAAATAGCTTGTTTTGCTTATTAGTTATGTCTTTTATAATAACTCATTGTAATTTGTGCGCATCTATCATTTCTTTTAAGATATTATTACTTGGTAAGATGCTTCCTACTCGTATTCAATAAATACCACACCTCACTTAATAAAATCAAAATGTAAAACTTATATAATTAGGTGATAGAAATGAAATGAGGTAATCTTTGTATAAAAAAATGTTTAATTACTTCTCCTTAGTGTGATCATGATTCGTGAACCTGTGAGTTGTTCATAACTTCATATCATTGATCAAGCTTTTCGAGCCAACTTGATCTTCTTAGATCTGAATTCACTCACAAAAGTAAATAAATTTTGGATTCAGTGTTTTTTATGTTGTATTTTTTTTTTTTGGTAATAAATGTTGTATTATTTCTTACTCACACGTAAAAATGTGTGAGGTTTATATTTTTTTTCCCTCTCTCTTCTCTTCAAATGATAGAGATAAAATTATCCTATACAACATAGAAATATTAATCTCATAAATTATATCTACTTTCTTTAGAAAGTTGCAAAATCCCAATAATTATCATTTAAATTTAGTCATTAAAGACGAATCTTAATAAATTTTAACAGCTTTTACACATTTGTTTTGTCGCTGAAAAGTTATAAAACTATAATTTTGAAAATTAAAATTAAAATAAAGTGTAATTCTTATTATTCAAGATTTTGATTTATTTACACTTTTGATAATTTAAATTTCTCGATGTTAATCTTGGGTTATATTTCTCCTATGTTGCATAAGAAAAATACATTTTCAGCATACACAAAAGAGGTGTGAGTCTCATCTCTATTTTTTATCTTTCTTTTTTATTTGTGGGTCTCACTTGTAATTTTATTTCTACTACATGAAATAGCATTTTTCCTACAACATAAAAAAATTATTTCCCATTAATCTTTTTTACATTCCGCTATTTACATTTGGTAAGTCTTATTTATCCTTCCTTGGCTCATATTTGTACATTGCCCTTATTATGAAATCGTGTAATCATTTATTATGTTAAAATTACTTTTATGATATACCATAAAATTTGTAGAACTAATGCACTCAAGATGAAGAATAAGAAAATGCAAGAGTTTTGATGATAACAAACAAAGCATGAAAAGAAGACTTCAAAACATTTAACTAGCAACAATAAAAAATGAGTCTAAGCAGACACCATTCAAGGCAATATATGTGAAGTCCTCCAAGACATTTGCAAAGCTCAAAGGAAGGACCAATAGAAAATGGTTTTCAAATATGTGAACATGGTTTTCAAATAGCATAGTTCATAGTTTTTACATTCTTGAAAATAATTTGAAAACCAATAGAAAATGTTCTTAACATATTTTAGAACCTTGAAATAATTTTTCAAGTCAAAAACATGCTTTTGGAATGGGTTGGAGACATTAAAATCCAAGTTAGAACCATTATGAATTGCATGTTCTACCTTTGACAGGAAGGGATTCGAATCCCTCGTGTTTAGCATTCCAATCCTTTCATGTTAGAGGAAGGAATTCATATCCTTTAACGAGGGATTCAAATCCTTCACTGCTGGTTAAAGGGATTCGAATCCCACACGAAAATGATTCGAATCCTTACTAGCTTACGCCTTGTAACGACTAGTAACAACTATTTTGTGAGAAAAACTCATATATATACTCATTTATTTCATCTCTAATTGATTTTGATCACTGTTCCATTGATTATTAAGCTTTGATTGACTGATTTCATTGCACCTACTCTTCTTACATTCATTTTATTCATCATCTTGATCATATATCACCTTGAGCTTTATTTTTGAAATTTTATCACTACAATTTGAGCTTCAACTTGAATCATTTTACTTTAAGAGTACTTAGCTATTGTCAAACACTTTTTCTTGTATTTTTGAATTGAGAAGGGAGCGAACCCTTTGTATTTAATTGAGAGATTATCAAATTCCTAAGAAAATTTGTATTGAAGTGTAAAGGCATCCAAGAGTTCAAAGTCTTGGAAGATTAGATCGATTAGTCAAACACTCTTGAGGCTTGACCGTTAGTGAAAAGTTAATCAAGCGGCTTCAGTCTAGACGTAGGTCACAAGTGGCGGTGACCGAATCAGGATACATCTTGTTTGAAATTTTTCTAACCCTCGACTCCTTAATTTATCTCTAAATTGCATTACTTGATTGTGTTTGCTTGTTTAATAGCTTATATATTGATCATACACTAGCCTCCTCATTTAGAATTATTTGTGTTAAATCATTAGATTGAAAAAATAATTTTTCAAAATATCAAAGGAAGTATTTTGCGATTTTTTTTTTATAAAATTGAATTCACTCCTCTCTTGAGTTTTGAAGTCACTTGTCTAACATAATTTTTTTTTTGATATGCGTCTAACATAATTAAATTGTAAAATAATTTATGAATTGAATAAAAACTAAAATCTTTATTTATTGTAAATTTTTTCAGTAAATAATAATTTAGGGAGAAGAAATATTATTCATTTTAATATTAGAACATGTTATGAACTTTAGAAAAAACTTACACTAATACATATAAATAATAAACTAAACGGATAACTAAAAACAATTCAAACTCAAAACGATTCACCCCATCGTCATTACATTTATTGTAAATTTTCGGAATGATCATCCGATTATGCATGATTACGTTATTAAAATAATCTTTTTATATTAACAATGTTTGGTTCAAGTGGCAAAAATTTTGTTCACCTTGAACATAGTTATTGAGTTCAAGTCGTGAGAATGGAAACACGATATTGGAAGTACCACCTTCAATATAGGTCTGATAATGCTCTGAACCAAATTATACCGGTTTAGATATAAAAAATAAGGAAAAAAACTACTCTTATATTACATGTGATAAATTTTTCTCTTACGCACCCTTCGAGAACTGTGTCATATTTTTTTTTTCTTTTTATTTTTAAGGTGGTGGAACCCACAAGTTTATCTCTATGACATGAGATAACTTATCTCCTTTAACATGAGATTAATAAACACTAAATCTTTGGTAGAGGTGGCAATTCGTGTCAACATGACCCGACCCGACCCGAATTTCACACGACACGAAAAACCTCAACCCGAACACGACCCGTTTATTTTACGTGTTGATACGACACGACACGAATAAACTTATAATGTAACCATGACCCATTATTACACATGTTAACACAACTCGACTCGACCTGACCTGACACGAGTTTTAGAATGGTCACATTCAAAATCTGTATTTAGACACTGATTTTACATCCATTAAAAGCACATATATCCAATAAAAGCCACTGCTGAGTGAAAAAGGTTTTTTGAAACCCTAAGTATATGTTATTTCTTTTATACCACTCACTAAAATGACTATAATAACCTTATACAAAAACTATTTGCAGGTCAGAGCGGGTTAACGGGTTGACCCGAACTCGACACGAATTTTTTCGTGTCATTTTTTTTCAACCCGAACACTTCCCGAACAATAAACGGGTTGACCCAAACACGAAAAATTCGTGTCGGGTTAGCGGGTCATGTCAGGAATTGCCACCCCTAATCTTTGGGCATGTTTGGTAGACATGATAGCATAGCACAGGTGGGAAACATAAGCTATCGTATCTTATGACTCATTTTATATTGTTCGCATCAGGATAAACTAGCTCAACAGCGACAACAAAATATTGAAAAAAATTCTTCTTGCAATATTAACCCTTTGCCTCCTTGAATATGATAGTCGGTTCTGCCCCGCCATCACCACTGCAACCATCATAACCCACAACAACCACCAGCCAACATTACCACCATTGCTTCTACTACTATTTTCACCATTATTGCCACCAACTATCAATTAGCACCATTGTTGTTGTTACCAAAGTAGTTAAAAACGAGATTTTAAGTAAAAACAAAAGGGAGATAAAATATCATAAAACATAAAATCGTAATATAAAAAAAATTGTAAAAACCTAAAAATACTTGAAATATTGGTAAAAATATTTTGATAAAAAATAATAATAAAAACATAAGAACACAGTAATAAATCAAGATTTTAACTATGATCACTACAACCATAAGTGCATGTTTGAGATAAAATTTCTTTAACTTTTACCAAATATCTTATCTTTAACTTTATCCAAATACTGTTATATATATAAAAATTGAAAATAAATTTAAAAAAATTTTAAAAAATTATTTGGCAAAGATATAATTTTTTATTTTGAAATTTTTTTATATTTTATTTAAAATTATTACTTTTATATTTTCAAAAAATTAAAATTAAAAATAATCTAAAAATAATTAATAGAAAAAAAAATTCAAAAATAAAAAATTATAAGCATAGTATAGAAAATATTATTCTTTTTTATATCATGTAAACGGATGAAATATTAATTTATTATACCTTATCACTTTGTAGTCTTAGCTAAAGCCGTGACCACAACTTATTTTTATTTGATAAGCCGTGAATTTTTCGTTATTATAAGCCATGAAATTATCGCAAAATTATTATCCTAAAGTTATTTTTGCTGTTCACGAGTTATATTTACCACAATCTCGTCTGTAAAATTTATGATATTTTACAATTCAGATTATTTAAAATTAAAAAATAAAAATAAAATTACACTCCGAATAAAAAAGTTTCACGCGTTAAAAAAAAAAAAAACTTAAATACATTATTCAAAGCGTGGCCATAGACATAGTAAGCAAATTCAAGTTGTTTCGTTCAAAGCTTATATATTCAGTATTCTCCCTATCTAGTCTCCACAAGACTTCAACGTAGGAAACAAAAAGCGATTATTCCATGGCTGCCAACGAAGCTTCACCGTAAGTACTCACTCTTCCCTTACGACTAATTTTCAATCAAAATCAAAGAAATTCAAAACCTTAGAACTTTCGGCGAAAATTCCAAAGTGACATAGTAACGCTAATTAGCTTGTGTTGTTTGGAACTATGATTTTTCCGTACGTGGCAGGTTTGAGAGCAGCGAGATGCTTGCGACATTTTTGGGGTCGACGCCGCTGTTGTCGGAGTCATGGAGGCTGTGCGGTCAGGCCAACACCACCGCCACCGCAATCAGGAGTTTTGTGACGGAGCGAATCGGCGGCGTCGTGTACGTTGCTTTTTCCGGCGTCCAAATGGCCGGCGGCTCGGATCCGAGTTGGAGAAACTTGGTGCCTTTGGCTAGCATCGGTGGCGTGCCACTGTTTTCGTCTCGCCGGAACAAGGAAGGGGAGGAGCCGGTGATGGTGCACGCTGGGATGTTAAATCTCTTTTTGTCCTTTTTCAACTCATTCCAAAACCAGGTTTGTTTCCAATTCATCCTTTGTGATTTTAAACGATTTAAAGTTATATTATTTTTAATAAAATTATGATGTTTTAGTGTATTTTTATATTCTTTCTCTTCTATTTTTTTTATTTCTAATTTTATAAACAAAAGAAAATGATAAAATACACTAAAATAAGTAGTTTCATTAAAAATAACATATAATTATGTCATTTAAAATGATAAATACCGAATCCATATATATAATGGTTCACTTTTTATGTGACGAATGTAAATAAATTATTTATATTTAGTCCAAAATGATGTTATTTTGAGCAGAAATTAAGATATTTTTATAATTATTACTTATTTCAAGGTTATAATAGTTTTTATAATTGTAATTTTTTAATATTTTAACTCAAAATAATATCGTTCTAAGAATGAATAGAAATAACTTATTTATATTCACTTTAAAAATATTAAAGTCATATATAATATATCAGATTAGTATGTGTTGTTTTAAAAATAGATGGAATTGTATCATTTAAAAAAAGAAAGAGATACATACACAGCGAGAAATTATAAAGAGAGAAAGTGAGAGATATTTTTTAATTTAAATTTTATATAAAAAAATATTAATTTTAACTAACATGATTATGATTATAAGGACACGTATTTTACCCAATATCATTTTCATTTTTTATTTCTAAATTAGCTTGTGATTCTTGTTGTTTTTGGTATTATAAGGATTTTCCTTGAATTATATATATATATATATATATATATATATATATATATATATATATATATATATATGCTATCATCTTCTCATGTGCATGATTTATATATCATATGTAGCACTCGCGAGTGTAAATATGAGCATATATTTATAAGGAGAGGTGTACTTATTACAAAATAAGTTTACTATTACTTATTCCCTCTTTTATAACCATGGAGTGAAATCTAATCAACAAGTGTCATTCAATATAATTTTTTTTTAGTAAATTATCTTTTGGGTCCTCAATAAATATCTTGAGACTCTTTTTAATATCTTAAAAAAAAATAGTCGATTCGTGGTTTCTCTAAAATTTAAAATAGACCCATATTAGTCCTTTGAGGGACTAACTACTAACTAGAGCCTTCTTTGAATTTCAGAAGACCATGATTTAAACTAATTGAATATATTTGAAATTTCAGAAAAATCTCAAGTCAATTTTTTTTTGTAAGAGACTAAAATGGAATCGATAATTTTTATTGAGGACATATAAAAATATTTTTTTTTCTCTTTAATCAATTCCCCCACTCTCTCTCTCTCTCTCACATTTCTCTTTTCATCATGTTTTATAGATCATTATCCAACTGATATAAAAAAAGTATTAAGAAGTGATAAATTTAACTCGTGATAAGAATAATCTACCGCATATTTCTACTGTTATAAAAACCAAAATATAGGAATAAGGTGTTCATATACGAATTTAATTTACCTTATCTGATTCTGAACTGAATTGAAAGAAGAAGAGACTAATAAAGGATACATATACATGAATGTATAATTCTATAATAATATCGGTATTGCGTAGTGGCCGTCTTTGTTTAATTTGTGTAGGATTTTTTTCTGGGATTTTTGGATTTAGTTTTGAGTGGAGGGATGGTTGTTGAAAGAGCAATTTTTTTGACTGATGAAGTTAATGGGACGTGCTAGGTGCTAATTTCTGCTGAATTTGATACTAATAAATTGAACAAAGCTTCGACAGTGAATTATAATAAAATCCGGAAAAAGAAAAAGGTTGAAAGTGATTTTGGATAAATTTACTTTATTATACTCATAACTGAAAAGAGACGAAAATTAACATATTAATTTAATGAAATTGATATGTCGTGAAGTTTGTAAATATAGGATACAGAAGCTTGTTAAATAACACCCATCATTACCACTGAGATTTGAGATGGTCTTAGAGCAAAAGGTGTATTGATTATTGAAAAGAAAATTCAAAAGAAGAAGGAATAATCGCATATTCATGTTTTGTTAAATATGAATAAAAAATTTAAACATTAATTTTTCATCAACATCCCGTTATTATGTTAAGTGTCCGATACTACTTCTAAGGATCCAATTTTATCAAATGTCATTAAAGTAACTTATCAAGTACATTATTTTAATTTGTTATATATGCTACAATAATTCCTACCTGAACCACCTCAAAGTATATACTGTTTTATACTTTTACAAAATCCTTGGAAATCTGAAAACTAGAACATGACAAAAACATATACAAGCTCATCACTAAAACTAAAATTATTGCGTTCAAGTTGTCACTTTGTTCTATTTTACGGCAAAATTGCTTTAAACAAAAAGTTGCTTTCCGTGTCGAAAAGGAAAGAACATTTTTGCAGTGTGAACAATCCCCGGATTCAACACGCTCATATTCTCAGTAATGGGTGGCCCTACCAAAGCTATCATTTTATTCATGGACATACTACCAACCAAGCCACCTTGATTTGTGCCCAAAACTTGCTGTTAGGTATTATCAGAAATGGTCCAAGATTCCAATTTGAAATGGTTGACTTTTACTTTTAGTTAACAGTTGCCTCCATCATCAAGCAGATAATGCCACAAACAAAGATGAAAGTAAGATCCATTTTCATAGGAAATAACATAAATTAAAACTTCCTTAATTCTTCGTTCAATGCCTTCATCATTATTATATGATGCCGGCTGTTGATATAAGAAAAAGCAATTTGTCATCACCCCCGCTAGTTGGCTAGTTAAATGTAACCCTAAAATAATAATTTTTAAATCATCTATTCGTTATTTTCTTTTCCTTTCAGGGGCAAAAGAAAGTGGGGGGATTATTTTAGTGATATGATGTTCCTTCAATATCGCTTTACCTGATGGGATTTGAAATGACATTTTTTTTAATGGTACATGGATTTAAAAAATGATAATTTATTTAAGGGAAAAAGATTATGTCCTGTACACACACTTAACCTTTTATTTAAACTATAAAGCATTATCGACGTGATAAATTGCCTCTCTGAAACGTGTCTTAGTGATTTGGGTAGGTTAAATCCAACTTTTCTTACAATAATCTTGTTGTCGCAGACTTAATCATCACACGACAGTAAGATGAATCCCCTTCGTATCAACTTATTATAGGGTACTGGCCTTTCAGGTCAGCAAAACTGCAAGTTGCATTAGTCCTTGTCTAATGGTTTGGGAGCAAGATTACAAGATTCTAGTGGGCACTCTTCCTTGGCAAAATGAACACTACCACCTTGACAGTAACCTTTTCACATGAAGGGAAAAGTTTCATTTTCAAATTTACGCCAAAAGACCGTAACTTTAAGTCGTACCAAGTCTTTCTGATTAGATCACTACCACTTCATGGAGTTTTTTTTTTTTTTTTTTTTTGGGTACATCAGAACAGATGAAATCAAAATCCATTTTTTTTTTCCATTATATTAAACTATTATTTTTTTTATATTTTTTTTTGGGTTCTTGAAATTTGTTTACCTGTAATCTTATTCTTAACTAATAACTGTTGAAAATTAATGTTGCCATTCAGATGTTGGGAATAGTGGGAAATACGGACACTAAATCAATTGTAATCACTGGCCATTCCATTGGAGGAGCCACTGCTTCTCTGTGTACTCTTTGGCTTCTGTCCTACCTCCAATCAATCTCTTCCTCTGTGTCAGTATTGTGCATCACTTTTGGCTCTCCATTGCTTGGGAACGAATCCTTTTCCCAAGCCATTTCCAAAGAAAGATGGGGTGGCAACTTCTGCCATGTGGTTTCAAAGCATGACATAATGCCAAGGTTGCTCTTTGCCCCCATTACCCCTCTCACTGCTCAGCTAAATTTCCTGCTTCAGTTTTGGCACTTGTCCATGACTTCAGCAGACTTTGGCAAGCTTGCAGTTCAAATATCCGACAAAGAGAAAGCTGAATTGTTCAGGGCTGTAATGGATTACTTAGAAGCTGCAACACAAGATGGAGAAGCCTCGGTGCCAATTTTGTTTCACCCTTTTGGGAACTACTTTTTTGTTTCAGAAGAAGGAGCAGTATGTGTGGATAGTCCAGCCACGGTTATAAAAATGATGCATTTGATGCTTGCAACAAGTTCTCCAGCTCGTAGTATTGAAGACCATCTAAAGTATGGATATTATGTTAATAAAGTGTCTTTGCAATTCTTGAATCAGAAAAACTTCAAGCAAAGGAACATTCCTGACTCAAGCTATGAAGCAGGCCTTGAATTGGCCATCCAATCATCCGGGATAGCAAACCAGGTAATTGCAATATCTTGATACCTAAATTTCAATCTATTTTTTCATTGCATACAAATTGGCTACACATGAATCATGATTCATAGTTCCAATGGGAAGAAGGTGATTTCACTGAACAAATTACTGTGATGTAACCAACAGGAATCAGCTATCGTAACAGCCAAGGAATGTCTAAAGACAGCAAGGAGAATGGGTCCTTCACCAAATCTCAATGCTGCTAGCTTAGCAGTTACCTTGTCTAAGGTTGTACCTTATAGAGCCCAAATAGAATGGTACAAAAGTTGGTGTGATGAGCAAGATGAACAAATGGGGTATTACGATTCATTCAAAAGCAGGGGCTCTTCAAGAAGGGAAATGAAAGTTAACATCAATAGTCACAAACTTGCCAGGTTTTGGAACAACGTGATTGAAATGTTGGAAAGAAATGAGTTGCCTCACGATTTTGACAAGCGAGCTAAGTGGGTTAATGCTTCACAGTTTTATAAACTATTGGTTGAGCCACTAGATATTGCTGAATATTATGGGAAGGGAAAGCATAGAACAAAGGGTCATTACATACCACATGGTAGAGAGAGAAGATATGAGGTTTTTGACAGGTGGTGGAAGGATAGAAGGGTTACTACTGGTGAAGAAAACAAGGAGAGGAGCAAGTATGCAAGTTTGACCCAAGATTCATGCTTTTGGGCTAGGGTGGAAGAAGCAAGGGACTGGTTGGATAGTGTTGGAAGTGAGAGAGACACTAACAAGTTGGCTTTGTTGTGGGATAAAATTGAAAGATTTGAGAACTATGCCATGAAACTAGTTGAAGATAAGGAAGTGTCCAATGATGTTCTTGCCAAGAATTCAAGTTACAGTATATGGGTGGAGAATTTAAGAGAATTAAGAAAACTAAAGGAAAAGGTGCAGAGGTTTCCTCAGCAGTTTACCCGTTTTTTAGATGGGGAAGTAGTTCCTTAATACGTAGTTTGGAATCAATAATCTTAACCCATTGTAAGCATAAGAACTGCTCATTTTGCAAAATAGCTTTTTTTGCTTTTGAGTTATGTCTTTTACAATAACTCAATTGTAATTTGTGCGCATCTATCATTTCTTTAAGATATTATTACATGGTAAGATGCTTCCTACTCGTATTCAACAAGTACCACACCTAAGTCACTAGGATGGATCTATTGTTGAGTAATTTAAGTAATTTGTATGAGATTATGTATTCAATTTTCACCAATGTATCAAAAAAGAAAGAAAGAAATACCACACCTCACTTAATAAAATCAAAATGTAAAACTTATAATTAGATGATAGAAATGAGGTGATCTTTGTATAAAAATGTGTTTAATTACTTCTCCATAGTGTGATCTTTTGTGTGATAATGATTCGTGAACTTGTGAGTTGTTCATAACTTCAAATCATTGATCAAGCTTTTTAAGCCAACTGGATTTTGTCAGATTTGAATTCACTGTCAAAAGTAAATAAATTATATCAACTTTCTTTCCAAAGCTGCAAAATCCCAATAATTATCATTTAAATTTAGTCATTAAAGACGAATCTTAATAATTTTTTAACAACTTTTACACATTTGTTTTGACGCTGGAAAGTTATAAAATATAATTTTGAAAATTTAAATTAAAATAAAGAGTAATTCTTATAAGTTATTAAATTAAATTTAGTTAATATTTTTTACATTCCGCTATTTATGTCTTAGCCTGGATTTATCCTTCCTTTGCCCGTTTTTATACGTTGTAATTATTTATTATGTTAAAATTATTTTTATGATATAACACCACATAATTAAATTGTAAAACATTTTACGAATTAAATCAAAACTACAACCTTTAATTACTGTAATTTTTTCAGTAAATAAAAATTTAGGAAGAAGATTACCAAAAAAAAAAAAAATTAGGAAGAAAAAATATTATTCGTTTTAATATTAGAACATGGAATGAACTTTAGTAAAAACTTACACTAATGCATATAAATAATCAACTAAAAACGGATAACTAATAAAAATACCAACTCAAAACAATTGAACTCATTGTTATTACATTTAGAGTATAGAATTTAGGATTTTTACATTATAATCCGATTATACATAATTATGTTATTAAAACTATTTTTATATTAATAATTTTTAATTCAGGTGGAAAAAATCTTGTTCATCTTAAATAATGATAAAGAGTTCTGAGTTATGGGAATGGAAAATGGTGTAAAAAGAGCCGTCTTCAATAAGGACTGAGAGTGCTTTGAATCGAATTATACCAATTTAGATATAAAAGATAATATATTATTATAACAATTACAAAATATATCAATATCTCTTAATATATATGTGTCTCCTATAAACTTCAAAATAATATTATTTTGAGTTTGGGGAAAAAAATTAGGGTTTTAGGACATCTTTAGAATTTTGCTTCTCTCTTATAACATGGATTTTTCTAATTTTTTTCCTAAACCAAAACGTTATAAGAGATGAGCAAACATTAATTCTTTGGATTTGTTTGGTGAACATGATATAAAATAAGATAAGTTATCATATCCTATGATTCATGTTATCTTATCCACATCCTTATAAACTACATGATATAGGAAGAAATTCTTCTTACAATATTAATTCTCTCATATCTCTATTGCCACTATTATCATCTTCACTGGCCAAAATTAGCATTATTATTGCCACCGTTATCTCCACCAACTATCAATTAACACTGCTATTATCACCGCCACAATGATGTTTATATTTGAGAGAAAATATTATTAACTTTTATCAAACAAAAAATCTTTATTTTTTTCCAAATACTGTTACATGTACAAAAATCAAAAATAAACGTAAAACCTATTTTTAAAAAATTAATCGGTTAAGATATAATTTTTTATTTTGAATTTTTTATATTTCATTTTAAATTATTACTTTTTTGTTTAAAAAATTAAAATAAGAAATATTTTATAAAAAATCAAAAAGAAAAAAAATTCAAAAATCAATTTAAAAAACCATATAAAAATATATTATAAAAAAAAAATTATATTATATCTCGACATTATCTAATTATATGCAAAAGATGGCAACTTATTACTTATGATTCACTACTCTTATTATCTAATATTCATTCTTATCTCATCATTTCGACTTGAAAATTCCTTCTGCTAGCTAACATTAACAATAAATAAAAATTCCAGACTAGTAAAAATCAAATTTGTTTTTCTTGTGTGTTGGGTAGGCTGTTGTGTTTGCATTAGAAATGTCGAACTGTTTTTGTGTATAGCTTTTGGTCTGGTAAGGTAACATTCAACCAAGATTGAAGATTCCAATCCAAGGGAAGAAATTAAAAAGCTGAAAAAGCGAAAAGAGATTCATTGACGCTAACGCTGACGCTGGGAATCCATGAATTTGTGGATTCCTGGTGTATGATAAAGGAGCTGAACCCTTTACTCATTTCCTAAATTCGATGGGGAATTTATTTGTGAAGAAGCCAAAGGTAACCGAGGTCGATCGTGCAATTCTCAACCTCAAGACCCAGAGACGCAAGCTTGCTCAATACCAACAAAAGGTAGGTTCAGCACCCATTTTTCACATCTTTATAATTATTTTATATATATATATATATTAATCTTAGATAAAAGGATATTTGAATTTGTGCCATAAGATTTTCCACTTCCGTTCTTTCAGATAATCTCGATCACATGTGTTTGGATCATAAAATAACCAGTCTCTAGTTGGAGTTTATTATTACATTTGTTGTGGCAAATGGATTATAATACTAATGGTGAATCAAGGAGAGTTTATATGTGGAAATGGTTATGTGAATTTGCTGCTTCGTTGCTGAGATTTGTTTGAGGTGCAGGTTACTTTTTGTAATTGACTCTGGAGCTGGATGCATTCATGTTTGCCTAGGGTCCTGACATTTAAATTTGAATTGGTGAAATTAGTAGTTTAGCATTTATGGGATATCCCAAGTTAACAATAATGAGGAACTATTACTGAAGGTGTAATGAATGAAAATATAGACTACTTTGGCTTCAATTTTGTTGCTGAAATTTCCCATCAGGAGATGATTTTGTGTTCTGTCTGTTTAAAAATGACCTGGGCTTTGGTTGTTGAGAGTTGAGACAGCGGGGTAGATATGATGATTAGTCTTAAACAAGAGTTCTAACCCGTAATGTTGATTAAGTTATGAAGAAAAGAGCATGGGGCTCTTGGAATCATTTGAGGGAACATCTTTCATGGCTTGAATGAATATACCCTTAATATGGCTAATTTAATAGGACTGCACAGAGTGGAACCAGAAGATATTTTTTGGGGTTGCAGAACATGAGTTTCACTCATTTACTTATTTTTCTGATTTGTTGAATTTTAGTATAACTTTCCTACAGTAACAGTTTGTCAACAGCTTAGGGGGTGAAGTCGCCTCCATAGCCCTTTATGTAGTTCTGCCTGACTGTGTGAAGAGTGGAAGGGTGGTGATGATTCTGGTCCAGCATGCAAATTTGCTCCTTAGCACTGTGATTTAGATGAAAATTCTTCTTCCTAATTTACTTCTGAGCTTTGTGCATTGTAAGTGGTAGAAGAATAGAAACTGTCGTATCTTAGTATGGGACTGAAAATGATGCTTGGGTTCCTCGACATCTATGCCATATCTGGAGTGTGTGCTCTTTACCAAATGGTTTTTTCTTTGAGGGGAAGGAGGTTGTTAGATACCCTCAGGATGGGCCTGGAAGGTTTACATAAGAAGAAATGAGAAGAGCAAGCAGGGAACAGTTATTTCAGTTAGTTGGTCGAGTAGTTAGTCAGGGGGATGTTCTGGTAGTTAAATAGGAGTGGAGGTGTACGGAAGAATTTAGTTAGATAATTCTTTAGTGAACCGAGCCTTTGAGGCTTAGTTGTGAAGGGGCAACCCTTGTAAGGAGTTCTCTCCTGTTGTTTGTCATCCTAATTCAATAACAGAAGGCCATTTTCAATCTAATCTTACTCTCGCTCTTGATCTGTGTTCTTCTATATCTTTCCCCATTATCTTGTTTTTCTTCCCTCAAATTCTATCTAGGGCTTTGCTTGGTAGATCTTTTTCATCATTTCCTCCCTTTCCCCTTTTCTTAAAAAGGGTTGAAGATCTTTGAATCTTTAAAACTGTCACTTATTACTCTTTTCCTTGTATTGCCGCTGGCCTTGACTTAAGTAAAACCAGCTCACCACTTAGGCAGGGTACAGCAAACTTTTAATGTGATTGGTACATGCAAGTTTTTCATCATGAGTGTGTGATGGCAGAGGTCATGATATTTCATTCTATTCATAAATGCAAGTAAAACATATGTTACCTCTGCATTTTTTGTACCTTTTCTATCTTTTTGTGATAAAAGAATAAATTTTATGAGAAAGAAGAGGAGGGATAAGCTACCCTCCAATCAAACAAGTAAAGGAAGAATTAAACAAAAGTAAACTCATTTTATCAAAAAATAAAATTAAAAAATGTATACTCAATAATGCAACAAGTCTTTTGAATCCTGCTGCATACCTGAAAGAGAGACTCCCTTTAAAACAAACATAGGAAAAATACCATTAGCTCATAACAGCTTTGTCATGTAACTGCTCTGAAGAGATGGTTATATCCTTAAAAATATGAGCTTGGCCTTCCAAGCAAATACACCAGAGAAATGCAAAAACCGCAGAGTTTTAACCTCCTTATTCCTGCCAAAGCCTCTGAATTAATTAATAAAAACTGCTCTCCAAACTCAGGAAATATTCCAAACAAAATTTTCCAGATAAAAGTGGCTGTTGTTGGACAATGCTAGAATAGATGAGCTCAAGTTTCCAAGCTAGACCATCATATAACACTTATTAAGGGAAAGTGCTTTAGACTGTCTATGAACCTGCAGCATATCATTAGCATGTTTTGTATCTTAATATTTCTAAAAGAACAATTTTAATCAAAATGGTGGTGTAGTGGGATGTGATGGGATATGTGTTTGTGCATTTTGTTACATTTCATTTTTCAGCAGTCTCTATTTGGAATCTTTTTTCATGTGTCGTCTCCTACTCCATGGTAAGTAAAAGTAAGTATTTTGTCTTTCAGGCACTTGCATAAAATTTGCTGGCAAATAAAGTTGTATAGAATGCAGAATGCTAAGAAGTTTAATAATAAGCTTAGTCATTTGAATCAGTCTTCATTTTTTGATCTTCTGTAATTGAATGAATTAATGACTTACAACTGAACCGGTTTAGGATCTTTTGGAGTTGTCTTAACTGTTGGGTCAATGTCAATAACATTTTAGTCAGAATAAGTATTATGCTGTACTTTATTGGATAAGTTACCCTATTTCATTTTTGTGATTCTCTTTTTCCAGCTTGATGCTGTCATCGAAGCAGAAAAGCAAGCTGCAAGAGACTTGATTCGTGAAAAGAAGAAGGATAGGGCCCTGTTAGCATTAAAGAAAAAAAAGACACAAGAAGAATTGCTCAAGCAAGTTGATGCCTGGCTTATCAATGTTGAGCAACAAGTAATTTTTTCATATTTAAATTATATTCTCTCTGTCTATGGTGCCAATTCAGCCTTCCCCCACTTATTTCATTTACTTAAGTGATAGCATGTTATGTAGTTATAAAGAGTGTCAGTGACTTATCGATTGCTGCTGTGGATCTAGCCTCAATGACTTCTTAACATGATTGTACACGTAAAACAAATAAATGGTCTCATTCCTTTGGTTTAGTTAGCAGATATTGAACTGGCAAGCAAGCAGAAGGCTGTATATGATAGTTTGAAGGCTGGTAATGATGCAATGAAAGCCATACAGAATGAGATAAACATTGAGGATGTTCAGAAACTTATGGATGATACTGCCGAAGCTAAAGCTTATCAAGATGTGAGTTTTACTTGACTCTTGTCCTTATTCTCACAGCTTTTGGAAACTGATTTCCATGTCTAGATTGGTTGCATTGGAGTTGTACTGGTTTGGTGTAGCTTTATGTTATGTTTGGCTGTTCGTATGTGCTGCTACTTTTTTTTTTCTTTTTTCTTCTAAATTTCCATCTCTTGATTTCTTTCTGTTTGTATTTGATGTTTACTGATGGATGCCATAATTTTTTTGAATTTGAAGGAAATTAATGCAATACTAGGGGAGAAATTATCAGCAGAAGACGAGGAGGAGATTTTAGCAGAATTTGAGAACTTGGAAGCTCAGGTATATGTATTTTAAAAAAAAAAAATCAAATCAAATAAATAAATCTGTCACTTCCCCGTTCTGTATCTCTTGGCTGGAGGAAAGCATATATATTAACTGAGGTTGATGGAGCTTCTTCTTTTGTACATCAAATGTGGTTTGGTTTTATTATATGATGAAGTTACATGTCTACTCCAATTAGCTGCATAATAGTACTGGTAGCTTGTTTTTTGTTTATTTTGGTACAAAACTCGCTGCTAGTTTCTTATGGCTGCCAGTTATAGAATTCAATTGTGTTTCTTTCTATTAGCAAAGTTTTGAGCCAGTGATTCATTGCATAGAAGATTGATACAAAATTAGGTATAAAGGAAATAATCACATAAATCATGCCCAGCAAAAAATTCTTTCTTGATCAAAGTACTTCTTACTTTAGGCACGGTCTACCATAGGCACTCAAATTATTATTTAACATGTTTATTTTTATGGGGGCCATGATAGAAATGAACCTATCTTTAAAGTGCTTTTACATATGTCAAATAATAATGAGTGCATCAGAGATGTGCCTAAGAATTACTTTTGTTCAAACAAAGATGTATCAATGTGCAATAAATAGGGATCAAGCCCCTAGAATTGTTAATGTATGATAACCGGTTTGTATTATTGTCTTCAGCTTACTGTCCAAGATCTTCCTGAAGTTCCTACCTCGGTGTCTGAAGAAATCAACGAGAAATTAGACCTTCCTGATGTCCCAACCGTAGTACCAGGTGAAAAAGTTGCTGAAGTATCTGCCAAAACAAAAGGTATCTCTCCCTCTTTCCTCTGTCTTCCCTCCAACCCAAAAATGAAGGAATAGTAAAAATTGGCTAACTGCTAATAATTGATGATGCAACAGTTATGGAGGAACCGCTGCCAGCTTGAAGAACACTGCAATCTTAGACGGAGCATCTCCATGTCTGCCTGTGTCGTTACAATTTCTGTTTCAAATTTTATGCAGTTTCTGGAGTTTATTTGGACTTTAGCATCATTTAATTTGTACAGTTATGCATATATGATACATCAATTCTAACATGAATCATATATTGAAAAAACCATATATCTTATGTTTTACACTTTCGCATGTGCACATTAGATATCTAAATGTGAAAATTTAGTCAATTATAAAATTGGCCAAGAATATCCATGTAACACCTGGTTGATATGGTTGTCTTCTGTTCTTTCCTTCTCTTTCCTTGTGGTGGAAGACTTGAAGTTCTTCAGTCACATTGGAAGAAAAATATTCTAGTGATATTGCCTCAAGGATTTCAACTTGTTTGCAGAGTTGACGCACAGCATACTCGGGTAATATTAATGTTTTTCGTGGTTTTAAAAGAGCAACGTACATTTTGCAAAGATACCAAATATAACAAGTTCACCCCTGCCGTAATTTCTTTGTTTTAGTTCATAAGAAACTAATTTTTGCTTTAGTAATTGCTATTTATTTTTATTTTTTTGGCATACCAACTCTAATTACCTCTTTAGACGAGTTGATGGTATTTTCATAGTTTTGACCATTTGAGCCGTTTACGAGACTAATATCGAGTTGATGTTTAATTATAGTTAAATTTTTTTGTCTTTTTCTAAAATGTATTTGGTGAGAATTGATCTTTCTTTACGGACTTAGCTTGAGGAGGAAGAACTCAGCTATAATGTTAAGTATAAAGGAAGAACTCCGGAATAAACTTGAGGAGGACATTGGACAATGTAGAGGTTGCAAACTATGGTTGGAAATTTTATAATATTTAATTATTATTTATTAATAAAATGAATGTGATGTTAATTGAATTCGTAATCACTTGATTACAAAAAATATTATGCAAAGAATTCATTCAACTTAAAAATTTAAATTGATAAATAAATACTACATTAATAATTTTATATTTATGTAAAATTCACTCATTCAAGAATTGATAGTTATTATAAATTTTTTAAGGGGAAAATTTCAAAAACTTCCTTATAAGTTTTATCAATTATCACTTACCCCGTCACAAATTTTTTGAATCATTTACACCCTCACTTAAAATTTTCTTATCACTTATCCCCTGAACTAAAGTTTTTTTTATCACTTATCACTCTAAATTTAAGTGATACAAAAACTTTAAGTGAAAAGTGTAAATGATTCAAAATGATTATGAGAAAACTCAAGGGTTTTTTTTTTAAGTTTTCATTTTCTTAAGTTACATTGCATAGCCCACATGCTGCCGTCGCGACTTAGAATTGAGGATGGGAAAATAAGTTGTGAGTCTTGAAGAAGAAAACCGATCCGGATAACATGTAGGCTCAATAGTTAGAGGCCAATGGGCGCAATATCTTCATTCCGCAGATTACCCTTATTGCGCAAATCAGACTCATAGCGCAGGCTATAATTCTTAGATATTTGATAAGGTTCACCGCACATGAGAACTAGTATAGATGAGATAGCTCCAGCTTGCCACTACTTTAAGGAAACAGACTAGCATCTAGACATGTTCATCAAGGAATAGCCTACAGGGCAGGATAACAACTGTGTGACAGAAGAGCAGTCACCCTAAATTACCAATAAGGAGAGATACCGCCTACAAAATACAGTACAAAGTACACTATAAATACAGAGGGAACAATCTCATGTACAGATGTCTCTCAGTTAAACAATATATACCTCACATTAATATTGACTTGAATGTCGGAATATTTTTGCAGGTACCTTCATCAATCTCTTCGGTTGCACCCAAGCTACTACGCAAGCACGTCCAGGATAAGCTTGATCCATTACAATACCAGACTCATTCGCAACAGCTTAAAGGCCCATCAAGTTAGTCTGATATTGCCCATCGGATAAGGATAATCAGATTTCACTAGATTAAATCTTAATAATTTCAAAATTTTAGTAAAGTATTGTACGGCCCATCGTCGGCAATGCTTAGACACTAAGGATGATTTTGAAATTAAACAATGGTTAATTACATTCAACTTTGGTAAAATTGTTAACCCTCCCATCGAGGCTCTGGCAATGGCACTGAAGGCCCAAATAACAATTTTGGTTTTTATAAGTGACTTGCCCATCGTAAGCCTTGTAAAGATAAACTGAAGGATTGTTAACAATAAACAAGAGTAGTTATGAGAATCTACTTGCACTTCGTTTGTTTATTGCATTATTTGTTTGTAATTGTGTGCTTTATATGTTTTTCAGAAAATATCTTAGAAATGATTTTGAGTCGAAAACCTCTAGATGGTACCAACTATGAATAAGTGAAAAGAATTTTTTTTGATATTGTTCTAAAACATGGAAGCTAAAATTTGTTCTGACAATGCGAGGGCCATAGCAACCTGCAGAGGATGCGTCTTAGGAAACTAAGATGCATTTCTCAGATTAGGAAAGGGCAGATATGGTAGTTCGCTGCTATATTATTGTCAGTCTTTCCAAATACTTGCAGAAGCAAATGTACATGATTAAGAGTGGAGTAGAAATGCTTCAGACTCTTAATGACATGTTTGTTGCGTCTAGCAGCTCTGCTAGACAGAATGCAGTCGGTGCAGGTTTTGCTAAGAGTCTTGTTAAATCCAAAGGGAAATCCAAGGGTGGTAACAAGAACAAAATGACTTGGTTATCAGTTGTCAAACCAGTTGCTATGAAGAAGCCACAAGGCAAGTTCTTCAAGTGCAGACTGAAGGGATACTGAAAGAAAAATTGCCCAGAGGTGATGAAAAGAACCAGACATGGGCATATCTAGGCCTGATCAGTGAACGAATTATTGATTCAGGAATCACTGATTATGTTTGTTACTCTTTGTAGTAGTTCAAACATGGCATACCTGTCAGCAATGGACATAGATATTTTAAGCTTGAAAATGGGAACTTGTGTCTGCATTTGCAGTAGGACAAGTTATTTATAAGACTATGGTTTTGGGTGACTGTTTGTTTGTTCCAGATTTCAAGAGGAATTCAATTATTGTTAGTTGTTTTGATTAAAACATGGTTTGACAATGCAATTGATTCCTCAGTTACATTTCGAAGTTCATCTTCGTCTTGTTTTGTTCTGGTACATTGTTTAAATAGTCTTTATTACCTATGTCCTATACCTTTTTTAAATTTGTTATGTTGAATGGAAAAGGATGATGAACAAGGATTTTCACCAAAGAAATAAAAGTTTCAAATGAAACATAACTTTGGCCTTTGTGATTGAGTCATATTATCTCAAGTAGGAAACATATTTTAGTTAAAAGAGGGACTGAAAGTTCAATAATCTTTTAACTAACAGCTACATGTTAGTCCTATTTGGAAGGTAAAGTGGCCAAGCAATCCTACAAGGGCCAAAAAGGTTTGCGCAACTATTCAACTGGAACTGGTACATACTAATGTATGTGGACCAATTGGTGTTCAGACCAGAAGAGGTAATGAGTACTTCATTATATGAATGTTTACCCTGGATTTGGACAGATGAACCAAGTGCGCCATAAGTCTAAAGCTTTTGGAAATTCCAAGAGGTTTAGTCTGAGGCAGAAAAGCATGTAGATGTTCAAATCAAAAACACTTTGGTCTGACTAAAGTGTTGGCTACCTGTCTGATAAGTTCAGGTCTTACCTGATTTAAGAGGGGATAGTTTTTGTAATTGTCAACTCTAAGAATGCGTTAGTTGAATGAAGTTGCAGTATGTGAAAATCAAACATTTCTAGACTTGGTGAAGATCATGTTCAGTTATTCATCTTTGTCAATGTTGTTCAAGGGAGATGCCTAAGAGAAGGAAATGTACCTTCTTAACTTGATTCCGTCAAAGTTTGTTGTAAAGACACCTAAAGAATTATGGAAAGGGTGCAAGCCCAGATCAAACCATATTCGGATTTAGGGTGCTACGGCACACGTCCTACAACAGCAGTCAAATGAGTTGGAATCTTGTATGAAAGAGTGCATATCTTTTGGCTACCCTAAGAGAACTAGGGATGATTTCTTATTTAGTCTTAAGGACAAGATAATCTAAGTGAGCACTCACATGATTTTCTTAAAGGAGGACTAGATAAGAAATTTTAAGCTCTTAAGTTAGGTTATTCTTGATGAGATTTATCTCAGATCAAGAATTTTCAGAATCTGTAGAAGCTTCATCCACTGTTCCCTTGATTGTTCAAAAGGGGATAGATATATCTCTAAGTGAACAAACAAGAGAACCATGATTGGAAATTCAACATGATAATATATAAGTGAAACTAGTAGAAATATTAGTATCACATATAAAGGAACAATATCAAGGATAAGCGGATCCTCAAGAAATTGGAGATCCATCATTTGACCCACTCTTTATTTTACCTATAAATACACAAGGTCTAGTGCAGTACATTCGTAGTGGGAGAGAACCTTGTTAACTCTCAAGTTGTTTCTTGTTGAGTGACATTGATCCTACTAGTTACGATAATGCACTAGAAGATGTTGTTGATCAAGTGTTGCTCAGGCTATGAACAATGAGATGAAATACTTGTATTTCAACTCCGTTCGGTCCTAGTAAAGACACCAAGAGGGGTAAAACCCACAAGGTGCATGTGGACATAAAAGGCAAAGAGAGGATGGACAGAAAGGTGAAACCTTCAAAGCTAGCTTGGAGGCATTTTTTGCCAGACGCCATGCTTGAGTCTATCCAGATTCTCTTAGTTGCTATAAGTCTCAATTATGAGATTTCATATTGGGAGTTGGATGTCAGGATATCTACATACAACAACCAAAATGGTTTATAGCAAATGAGTAGGAACACACGGTATGCAAGTTGTGAAAGTCTATTTCATAGACTTAAGCAAGCATCCAGGTCTTGAAACATCAGTTTTGATCAGGTTATCAAAATTTTGATTTTGAGAGAACCTTGATGAATGATGTGTATTTGTATGTAAAGGATACAACGGAAGACATTAGCTTTTCTGGTACTTTATGTAGATGATATGCTCCTTATTAGAAACAATGTGGAGGTAATATTAAGCATAAAGAGTTGGCTAAGTTAGTGTTTTGGTATGCAAGTACTGGGGAAGCCAATTATATTCTTGGTATAAAACTCTTATGAGGCCGGAAGAATAAGTTGTTGGCATCACCTCAGGCTACTTACATTGACAAAACTCTTGTCAAAATTCAACATTAGAATTCTAAAAGAAG